CATAAATAATTTGCAATTTATATTAACCGCGCGCCATCAACTCTGGCACATAACTGGCCAAGATTTTCTACTTAGCTTATACATGCATTGAAGATTTGCCAATGGCAAGTAACCATAATGACTGCAAGCAAGTGTCCCAACAAGCTTTATCGAGCTGCTTTATGCCCAATTCCCAATCGCCTTCCTTCGTCCACAAAAGCTATATTAGCCCAACTCCATTTCAGTGCCTCCGCGTGTTCTGAACTCTCACTCAGTCTTCCAATCTAAGCATGCTAGGAGTCCTTCTTAAGTGAGCTTTTCGACATTTTTGTCATTCTTCCAGTCTTTTTGTGGTTTGTGCGTACGCGCGCCATCAACTCTGGCACATAACTGGCCAAGATTTTCTACTTAGCTTATACATGCATTGAAGATTTGCCAATGGCAAGTAACCATAATGACTGCAAGCAAGTGTCCCAACAAGCTTTATCGAGCTGCTTTATGCCCAATTCCCAATCGCCTTCCTTCGTCCACAAAAGCTATATTAGCCCAACTCCATTTCAGTGCCTCCGCGTGTTCTGAACTCTCACTCAGTCTTCCAATCTAAGCATGCTAGGAGTCCTTCTTAAGTGAGCTTTTCGACATTTTTGTCATTCTTCCAGTCTTTTTGTGGTTACTTTGTGCGTACCCAGCCATAGGTCCTCTAGTGGTCTAACCGCGTTAGAATGGCGTTTCGATAAAATAAGGAAGCTTTCGTTTGGTTCACTCAGACGCCTTGATCTGTTATTAGAAGAGTCTCAAACTTCGTCACTCTATACGTCCTGTCTCACTGATCTTCTGTTCCACTCGTCGCCAAGACAACAACCTGCCGATTTTGTGGTTCCAAATGAAGTACGCTTACTTGGAATTTTCCGGTCAGCTTCATCAATAAAAACACACTGACGTTTTTTTGCATCTCATCGTCTAGTACATTTCTTATGGCTAAAATGAAGATGGATCATGAACTGATGAAACAAATTCCATTATTCACTATTCCTTTAAAATATGTAGGTGGTTTTGAATACGGTTATTCACCTAGTGCACACCAACCTATCCAGAGTTATGTTCAATCCATTCTTCCAGCCGTCCGATGCTCGGACTTTTGTCTGCTCCATATTCTATTCTACAACAAAATGTCCCTTTGCTTGCAAATCAGGAGTCTAGTTTTGCTGCCGTCCAAGCTTATTTGTCGTAGTATCATTTCGTTTTGGGCCATCCAGCTGTAAACTTTCTGTGCTCTGTCGCTAAGAGATAACATGAGGGTCTTGTATAGCTGAAAATTAACTCAAAGACTTTTCAATGATTTTTTTAGCCGTGGTGCCTATCCGTGCAAACGGAAAGAAACGCGAGAACTAAGAGGTAGCCAGGTTGCCATGACTAAACATGTGTGATTGAAAACCTGGTGTTTGGATCCAGTTACTGGCCGTCCGCTTAATAGCTTCACCCCTTAACTCCTAAGCATTCTCGGCCTGATGGGGATCTGTGGTTAAATGAATGAATTTTTAGCTTGACCTGAACTTAACTGTGCCATTTCCCGGCATAATTCACCATGTACGCAACCATCTACACTACCTTTCCATCCAACTGCGCAGCGCCGCAGTGGATTAGATGAATTCGGTGTGCTTGTGACCTCCAGAGAGTAGCCAGGGCAGTGAAAAACGAACACCACTTCATTTATTTACTTTGGATGCTACACTTTCGTTAAAAAAATGCAGTCTAAAAGTTATTACTTGATACTACTTTCAAATTTTGCTCACTGAATGCTAAACATGTGAAGGCTATCGTCATGACAATATAGTCCCCATCAGCTGTGGAGGCCGACTGAATATACGTTGCGCTCGTTCTTCAATTTAGTATGAAGCAGGATGATCAGATGCCATACAGAACAATTTGAGACGACCAGTTCAAGTTTCGAAGATGGTTGCTGTAAAGCTCACCGGTATCGACACAATCAAGTATATGGAAAGGCTGGATACGACAAACCCTGCACTGATGATATTACATTGACTAGTAAGGAAACGCTTTACAGTCCAGCTGCCAAGCTCGGCGAGCAGACCTCCAACCCGTTGGTCCACGGTAGCCGTACTAAATCATAGATTAAGGAGTGTCACAATCGAGGCGACTGAGAATGAAACACTTATATGTGGATCAACGTGCGATAGATCGATATTTGTTCAGTTTTCTACGCGTATCTTGGTTTCTTGTGTAATGTTTGGGGGGAGGGGTATTCCTGCTTAGGCAGAGACACAAAAACTGCTTGCTCAGAGTGACCTGGAAAGCATTTTGCAGCAGTTGCAGAGTTATAAAAATATTGAAGCTTGTGTTACATCGAATTTGGACAAGGGTGAACTATTCTGTCATACAAGCGAGATGGCTGAGTGATTAGAACGTGAATTTACGGACCAGAAGTTCCGTGGTTCGAACCCGACCTTTGTCTCCTTACTTCCCCTGTCTAGGCTTAAGCAACCCAGCAGTATCCCAGCTTTCGTGCTTACTTCCGGTTGCATAGCAGTTAGGCACCGAAAGGGTGCTAGAGCTGACCTTGTCATACGATCACCCCAGCTAGTTCAAAGTCCCAAATACGAACTAACTTCCCCTATCGCCGCGTGTACTCTGACCGACGTTGAGCCTTCACAAGAACAACCCTTGTAGAATGCATGAAAATCTTGGAGTTTTCAGAAGGTTTTCCCGTTATGGAGGGAATTAAGGGGCTCCTATTCTCGGCCAAGTCACTTCAATGAGTCATTTCAAACGAATCATTTAAAGTATTTCATTCGCATAACTTCATACATTTCCGGACAAATAGGTGACGCTTTGCCCTGTTTGGGGACTCGACGAAATGCAGCGGTCTCCAAGTTGGGATGTGCAACTAATGAGCAGATGAACTCAAGATAGCAAGTGAGCCAGAAAAATGCTCGCCACCCAAACCTTTATTTAAAAAAATCACTTGGTTTTCGAGTTCCGGCTTTCTACGGCTCAGTGGGACCGATTTTGATTCCACATACTTTGTTGCACCTCTGCTTTTCGGTTAGAAAAGTTGGGTTTCTGAAATGTCGAACAAGAGTCACTTGGTTTGAGCACGTACTGTGGACGCAGAAAACATCGCAAACATTGTCTGTGTTGCTCAAGGCCAGAGTGTTGAACGTGCTTTCGTCGAGGATGAGTAGTTCACACAGTCAAATATGAGTGAAACTTCGTTTGAAATCTCAAGTTTCGAAAAAAATGAGTTTGCAACCGCGACAAAACCCTGAAAAGGTGCGCGAAATTAGTGCCTTTTAATGTGTTAGCGTCAAAAATGTGATAGTTTTTTTAATTGTTAAAAGTTTCAAATCAAATGCTTTTCACCTAACCTTCATAATTAAAGGTATTACGTGGTTTTCTATGGAGGAAAATGTTAGTAGCTCAGGTAGCGTGGATGGTCGTTGGTTTGTTCGCTGAGCTGGGCAATTTGATTGCAAGCGTTTCATCACCAATCGAGGTGACATTGTCAGTGCGTTATTGGGAAGAGTAGTGGTGCGTAGCGGTGGGTTAGTGGTTGTGCGTTGAGTGGTGTTATGTGTGTGTTAATATAGGTGCTGCTAGCCGAGGATGACCTTTGATCGCGATTAGTTGTTCGGTCGGCCGGTTCCATCGGTTGCTCCGTTATCCTATGTCCTCATTCGCCGATGCCCACGTGACATTTGAGCTCGGCATCCCCTGCCGTCGTAATCTGGTCAATGCTGGGGTGGCCTTTGTCCTTCCGAGTCCTGGCTTGTGACCTTTATTTATTTGACTCCTTGTTTCTTTGTTTTTGAATTCAATATTCGGTCCTCCTTGAGTGTTCCGGTTGAGATGCTGTTCTTTTGCACGTAGAGGTGCGTAAATTGGATCCAGTTGGACGTGGTTCTTTCAGGAGCACAGTGGTACAGTGGCACAGATAAAGTAACAAGAGTATTACCAGACCTTAAAGCGTCAATTGGTATAATTTTTAGTCAGACAGAATAAGTACATATGTCCTGATTAATGAGTTAACGGGATCGACACCACGTGCTTGAGTCACCAGTCCTAAAGATGTAACCAGCATGCTTGTACAATTACAACGTTACCGTCTCCCGGGCACTGTTGAATGAAGCTCATAAACAACCAGTTACTCAAATATGGTGCCTTTGTCACCCATCAATCGGCTGGCTCTTGAGTCAGGCGTCCATCAACTGGATGGGGTTGGTCTTCCAGACCTTTGGTAGACAAGGAGTATGTCGACGCTTAAACTTTGTAGCCAACCAAGAGCAGCCGACAGACCATCGTGACTTAGGACACATTTCCACAGACTAAACCGAAAATGTGTAAACAAGCATCCCAAAGCCAATTTTTCTCACCTTACCTGCTACTTACCTATAGGAGTGACCACTACCACATCAATTCCTCGAACGTGAATTCCTCTGTAGGAACAACAGTGGTCATGTAGACGGTCAATCGATTGTCCAAAAAAACATAATCCAAAACTCTAATGTGGGGACCTCTCAACAAAGGATATCTAAAATGGTCTTACGAATTGAAACAAGTTTTCTGATAGTTTCAAAGAAGGCATATCATTCACAGCTTAGAAACGGAAAACATTTCTAAAAAACACTGGACTGCAGTGCGCCAGTTCTCTATAAAGTTTGCCCAGGTTCTTTCTTGTATAAAGGCAGTATACTGAGAATGACTGATAGTTCTTTGACCCAAGTAAGAGAAATGTGTACACTGAGAATCAAATGCCATTGTGGGATAGGTAAGTAAGCAGAAAACTCAAGGACCAAGCAAAGATCATCAATAAAAGTCAGCAGTCCGGGATATTTGATTGATCGTGAGAATAATTGTAAAAGGAAACCGATGGAGGAGCCAATTAGCCAGAGGGGAAGACAGACGGGATTCAACACCGGCATAACTGATTTCAAACAGATTCGATTCGCGTTCCACTCAAGAGACAATAGCCAGAAGCCCGTGGAGATTTGACTGAAATAGTATTATTGCGGGAGTTGCACACAAGCGGGACCACCAACAGGGCTAGGATTAGGACCGCCACAAACGGACTGTAGGGTGCAACCACCAGAACCCGAATGTTGTCCACTAGATGGCACGTACTGTGATGGTGATGGCGCTTGTCCCTGAGGTCCGCCAACACTTGCTAAATGTTGCTGCTGAGAATGTAACATACCACCATGAGACAGTGGTGGTATCATCATGACGGAATGCGGAGTGCTACAAAATATTGATGTGCCTTGGCCATTTTCATTGCTTCCGGGTCCTGTGCAGGGTGGATACTCTGACGGTATGAGGGGTGGAGGGCCACCAGAAGGATCCATCAAGTCGGGTCTCACACTAAGACCGGGGGGTGCCTTCAAATCAGGACCTGAAGGGGGATAACCACCAGATACGGGTGACGGCATTCCACTGGAACATTCCAGTGTTGGAGGTGGCATCATGCCACTACCACGTGGAAGAAGTCCACCAGAGCCACCGTTTAGAAGACCCGAATCCCCTGGCCCGGTACCAAACATTGCATTTACTGGTGTTGAGCCAGGACCGCTGCCACTACCGAAAACAAAATGAGGAAAAGGCCGAGTGTTGTATTCTGGAGGTGAGCAAACCGGTGGAGTTTGCTGTTGAGGCGGAGATTGGCCAACAACGGTAGAGTGGAATGATGTGGGTGACCAGGTGGCAAACCACTACCGGAAGGTTGGTGATCTGAAGGTGCGCAGTTGTTCTGGCTGTTTATGGGACTAGGAACTGCTAGATATTGTGGAAGAACATATTGTATATAGTATAGTATAGTACCGGGATGTCCAGGACTCTGAAAGACACCCCCACCTCCAGCACCAGGACCAACACTGTCTGGTCCCGCAGAGGATATGGAGTTCGGAGTTTCGACCAGGTTAGATCCGTACAAATCCGGGATGTTCAACATGCACAACAACAATGAAAAAGGGGAACAAGGGAGGAGCTGAAGTCCTCTTGAATCTGCTGGATTATGTAGAATGTCTTTCGCTTTCAACAAAATGCACGCCGTTGATGGAAGCACTTGGGAAAGTAAACGGAAAAGACAGATTCTAAAGCTTATTGTATAAACTGCAAAGTCTGTGGAAAGCGAGCACACGTAGTCATGTAAATAAACCCTGTCATACCAAAAACTGCTATCTGCATTAAAGGCTCACTGAAATATTCCCTTATGAGTGTTTGCAGTTTGGAAACCTTCAGCAATTGAATACTGGCAAACCAAAAGTCACTGCCAGTAACATGCGTCTATTGGATCCAGAAATTGTTCCTTTACGCAATTTCGTCCCCAACTTTCGAACGCTAAATAGTCCGGTGGTAACAATTTTGTTAGTTGCAATGGTTGCCTGGCTGGAATTCTTTTTGGCGCTCTGTATTCTGCCAAGTGCCCAAAAAGTGGAGAGAATTTCCAGATGGGATCCCCTGAGGTAAGTATGTCTTCAGAACTATTAGGCTCGGCAGCTTGGTCGAAGTATAACTCCCAATATCTAAAAGTCTGCACAATAAACAAAAACGGCGATCGCCCGGATATAGACCGTTCTACAGATGGGCTACTTCCGACGAAGACAGCAGAGAGTGAGAGATCTACTGAGCACTTTGGGAAGCAAAACTAAGAAATGGACAGGAAACCGTGTGAAATATTGTTTTTCCAACATTCACTTTAAAATCACTCAAACTGTGAACATGGCTAACACCTTGTTTTGGCAATAACTTGCTTTCTCATATGTTACCGCTTACTTTCCTGCGGTATTTCGATAAACTTATTTTCTTCTTAATGCCGGAAATCGTAAAAAGAAGACCCAAAGCGAATGGGCTCTGGCCATCATAGTCAATTTACCACCTTACCAAAATCCGTTTGCAATCTTTTACATCAGACAGATGTCTCGCACTTTCGAAGTACAGGGTTGAGGGTTGCTGAGGGCCTTTTGACAGCCCATGACTGGTTTTTCCCTTCTTGGAGCTCATCAGATTCTACTTGAGTCCAAATCGTGCGAAATTTGCTAAATACACTCAGTTGCGCATCAATTTCTCGTTTATGATACTCTTCAGCTGTGTGCTGAACAAAGACCGCCCCATGTTTCACTTAGTCTGATATTCGAGATATTGTGTTATATTTTCTCGGCGTAAAGTAATACTTATTGAGCGTTCATACGGATTCGGACCAACAAGCGACTAAGCTTCGTGCTTACTAGCCCGCACGTTTCACTTAAAATTGTGTCTTGGCAGGGTACCTAAAACGTACGGGGAGTTGCCGACAGCGAAAACTATATTCGCCAGCCTTCTCAACATTAGTGTGGATGCCTTGATCAGCATCTCCGTTTAACTAAGCCGACGGTACTTGTGAGTGTCCCAATCAAACATCTGTCGTCTGAAACATTGCTTTTCCGTCAGGTTACCTTTCTTGTGAACTGGTTCACGGAAACAAATGCAGTCATCGACTCAGCATCGATGGCAGATATACAGCCAGGACTTTGATCCCCATATGTTTACTTCATTAGCACACATAACTGCGGAAAGCTGCAAGGTAACCTGGGTTGGAACAAGTTAACAGAGCAATGGAGACAAACCAATGTACTTTAAGGGGATATGGGTTCTGGAATGACACGGTCAAGTGTAGTCAAACAAAGCAAATGACATCAGACATTTTCTAATTCACGGAAACGACCAACTTACTTTTGTCTTCATTCCACTGTCAAATGGCCTGTATGTAATTCTACGTCGTTCCTTTCTATGCAGAGTTCAGAGTGACAACAAGAAGCAGTGATGGAAAGTGAATCAGGGTTCAGTCACAAATAGTTTTCAACACTGTTAACGTCGATTGCTGTAGCCCATGACTTGTCACCGTTGCTAGGACAAAGGAACCAACACACACACGCGCACACACAAAGTTTGAGTCACAGAGTTTGAGTCAAGAAACTCAGTCTGTTCCTTCAAAAAAACTGTCAACATAATTCCAAAACTGGTTCCTGGTGATCGATAGTGATTTTTGAACGACGACTGTTTATCGGGTTCCCGACACGAGGTGCGGCCACAGTAGCAAAGCCCATCGCCAGTACGAAGGCTAGAAAAACCAGTGGAAATCAATAAGCACGCAGTTGTAAAGGTGAGCGAGTGGGAAGAATACCAACTTAGGTTCTTTACTACCATACTTCAAACGGCCGACTTGCCGGTTTGTTGACTCGGAATCCCACTTTTCCACCCTGCTGAATAGGATGTTGCCAACACCGGCACGAAAATAAATCACGCCCTGAGTATATGACCGCACCGTGACTAGTTAATGCCATTATTTGAGGATGGGATGGCTCGGTGGTTAGGGCGCCAATTTACTGACCCTAAGATTCGTGGTTCGGGCCCGATCACTGCCTCTGGAATTCCCCTGTCTAGGCTTGTGCAACCTAGCAGTATCCCAGCCCACGTGCTTCCTTCTGGTGTCACGGCACTTTGGCATCGAAAGGGTGCTACAACTGAGCCACTAATACTACTAACTACTATGTTATTTGGGACAGCCTTTCTTTGGTGTCGAAGATGTCACACCTTTAACCCACATAATTTGAGATTGCATAACACTGGATAGATAACAGGAACGGTGATATTCCATTGGGAAGCCTCTACTGAACTGACCATTGATCGAAAACAATTTCGGTCCAAAAGCCAAAGTATTGATACTAGGCATAGTTGTCATACACCAAGACCTTCCCCCTCAAGTCTACGACCAAGTCCTAATCTTTGCACCTACAACAAACCTCTCACCTAACGTTCGCACCTCGTTGAACACCACATGTTTACTACCTGCTGATCGAATGCGATCTTTGCTACTTATCAGTAATATTAACCCATACTTCTAATGATCACCTGTTAGTTCGTGGCTGATAGCTAGGAAAAATTTCACTTTGTAAAACACTCTATCATCCCGAAACTTGCCCAGTTTCAAATTCGGAATGCTTTCCTATCTGATCCCCAGAAGTACTAATTTGAATTCTGACGCAATCAGGAGAAATTCGCTCCGCGTTTCAGACGAGCACTTTAATAATTTAGGATCTAGTAATCACCTATTTATTCATGGAACATCACTAGTCCCCCCCCCCCCGTTTTCGATTACTCTTCTTCCAATACCGGATCCTATTTCACTGTTCACACATTAAAAACTTTTTTCCATCTCTGATTTTACAAACAGTTGTTTATCGAACGTTCGGGTCGTTCTTCACAATTGGTCTGCGAGCTTACTCCCCCTGTCGCAGTCCGCCGCCGGATACTCTGACCCGAATTCTCTCATCCACACACACACACACACAGTAGCCATCCTGCTGTTCCGACGCATTCCTTTGAATCAAACGGAAACGATCTTACAATGCTTTTCAATTAGGTTGTGAAACTCCGACCGGAACAAGGACTGCAGCTTTTTCAAACGTGTGGGAGTGTGGGTTGACTGGTTGGACTGATGCTTGCTTCCGTTCGCTAGTAGGCAAGTACTTCCTGTTAAGTAAGAGAATATTACTAGACAATCGATCACGTTTAGACGTAGGGTGCGGCGAAAGCAATTTAATTTCGCCTACCTGAGGAAGCGAAACTTTTCCCACTTTGAGCTAACTGTTATTAAGTTTGACTCAATGCCGAACTTGTGTTCGAACGAGAGAGCCTTTTTCGGCGCAAACAACACGTGACTAAGTGTGCTATTGAATTTTAATCATTTGGATTCTGTACTACTATCATTTATTTTTGAAGAGC